ACGTTGATAAGTCACAACTGTGAAACCTGAATTTTATTTTTAATTTTTAGAAACACTGAATAGTCCCCTACGTAGAAAAAAGGTATGGAAGTAGCATCGAATAGGTCGATAAATGAAAACTTTTGAAAAAGGCAACGAAGAGAACAAAACAAGTGTCAACACTGAAGCATTTGAAAAGAGTTATGATAATTTCGTTTTCTTGAATATTTTATTGGTTCACAGTAGAAAGAAATCCTCTCTACACATATTTTAAATTTATGTCAAGATTGAACAATGAGATCAGTTAAAATACTTATCAGTTAATTCAACTTAAGAATTTACACACCATGCAGAAAAGATATAGTAAATTACTTTTTAAGTAAGTAGATATTCTTAAGTAACTGAGAAGACTAAAAAAAGAATAAATGACCAGAGTTTGACAAAATGGAAAGTTTCCTTAGTTTTAGAAGCATAAAAGATGTAATGGGGCATCATAATTATTCGTGAGTTCGGATATTGTGATAATAAGTGTAAGTATCAAAAGCGATATGATTACGACAGCAAGATAAGAAATCAAAGCTACCACATTTGGTATTGCCTTTTAGATAGGGTTTATGGTAACATAAAGCAAACTTGCTATTTTGCAATAGGCTGGACAAATTATTAGAATGCATAGTGAAAATGTATACAACAGTAGTAAGATAATGGGTCTTCGTTTTGAAAAGATATGATACTAAGTCTCTGAATAAGCAGAGATGGATGGTGGCTAGCAGTGGAATCCAGGACGTGCGTTTCGTCCTGTCTTGAACTCGTCAGCTGTGACTTGAGGTAACATCGAGGTAACGCGCATAGATTGTACATATACCAATAAGAGATTGATCCATTTTAGTCCCAAGTATCGAGGAGATTGCAACAACCGTTACAAAAATAAGTTTCTGAATGTTTATTTTTTTGATAAAATATCGAAACCCACCCTCTAACATCACAACATCACAAAAATGATTGATTTTAATGTTCATTTGTAATCTCACAAAATGTATACGAACATCGAAAATAGGTGAATGGGTTACTTAGAAAGCTTAGGGACTATTACGTTATCAATATTCGAGAGCAATAATCCATATAGCAGTTAACTTTGAGGGTTTCAGTTTTGCATATTCCGATCAGCTGATTTACATAGAACTGCCCCTGTGATATGATGACGCACACGGATTTATAAAATATTTCCAGTTCTTTCTATTATTTAACACGAGGAAACTGTATACGTAAATCAACTTCAAAATAGTTATTTATATTCATATCATTACGCATCACATCTTGAAACTAACGATCACGTACGAAATCAATCTCAGTGATAGTATATTTATACATGAATATATTAGATCACTAAACGAGGTTTATTTAACTAAACTGTTTAGATAGAGTTGGTTGGTGTCGCATAACTTACCACAATCCTCATTCACCTAAGACTATGAACAGTGATTATTTTAGTATAGGGGATTTATGGAACTTGAAAGATTTTCACATTTTTCACTCAAATGGAGATCCTAGGTTTGATTTCAGCATTCATGGTCGTGGATGCCTACTGCTGAGTAGTATCATATTAGGATGTAACAGCCACCCGGTACTTCCAAGATTTTAATCGTGGTCTAGCTAAAATCAGTTTGGTTAAACTGTGAAAAAGTGGTTATTCTAAATCACAAAATTCTTTGCTTATAGAAATATTCATTTTCTTCCAGTGTTGAGATATATGCAGAAACTTAATTCATTTTAATATTTCATTTCGTTAAATCTAAGTTTAAGCCAAGTTTTTATAACGTAAAAGCTGAATTAGTTAACCAGAGTAATAATGGCTAAAAATGTGGTGATTAATAAGACTAAAATGAACTTCATATCATTTTAACATAAATAAAAACAGACAAACCTAATCAGCTGATCATGAATATTTCAACTGGTTTTAATTTCAGTAAACTATGAATACCAAACCCATTTTCAAAGATGTTTGACTTGAACACGATAAAATATTATAAATTAGGAATCAAATAATTTTGACAGACATTCATATATCCACTCACTTAGATTTTGCGAAGTCGTCAAATGTATGCTTTTATTATTAGGAATTTATCGCACTCATTCGAACTAGTAAATTTCGTCATTTTTACACAACAATTTAAATTCAAATTGGTTACATTCACTATGATTGATTTGTTTAATCACGAACTTATTCTCCTGAATCATAAACACAAAGAAAATGTAAGGAAAAGCTAAATAGGTCTGAGAAAATAGGTTTTTAGATAATGTTTAACAGTGATAATCAGTACTCAAGTTGCGTACGATATGGGATTCGTCATTTGGATTTATAAATGTCACAGTTTTGTTATGCATGTTGAGACTGGCATGCAGTATTTATCTTTATGGTTGTCATCGTTTTATTTTCTTAAACTTGTAACTAAAGACAATGTCGATATTTCTAAAAAGGGTTCACATGTACTATAGAAAACTGGCAAAAATGATTTTTCAGATACTGAAATGCATACAAAATGAGGTATACTGCATAGCGTAACTGTAAACATATACGCTTAAAGGAAATAAGTGGTAAATCTTTACTATCAGGTCCTACAGAAAATAAATCAGTGAATATTTCATCAGATACAATTTTTCCCGATATTCTGCAGATAACTGGAGTAATGTTTACAGTCCTAAGTTTTTGTAAGCCATTCTTGTCTCCAGATTTTAGGTTTGGTGACATATATGTGGTTTTAATCTAAGATAGACCTTTACTTTCAAAAAAATGTAGTCAGTATCAGTGTAAATAATGAAACATCAGTTCCATCGTAATGGATATAGATGAATGCATTACATTCTATTGGCTGAATTACTAAATTGTTAATGGAGTTTGTTTCTTTACTGATGTAAAGATAATTAAAAGAAAATGGAAAACCTACCGATGCTAGTACTATGTAGGGGTTGTAAACCAAAGTTACCTAGAAATTTATAAATAGTCACAAAATAATCGCTGAACAGGATAATGATGGTTTTAGTGTCATTTATAACTGAGGTTAACAGGACGAATCATGGAAGACTTGGATTTTTCGAAAAAAGACTAAGGAATTCATTCAGTAAAAGTATTAAGTTTCGCACCTTTGAAGTGGTGCTTAGTTGTAATAACTAATAATCAGTAGCTTCTAATCTGTAGTCTTCTTTTTTTATGAACAATTTGGCCATTCTTACAGCTGAAGAGAAGCTGTTTAAAGAAAAGCAATGTTTGTCACGACACTTAACTGGAGTGTATTGACCATTAGGCTTTATAATTTCCTAGTTCCGATGAAACCGAAGCAAAAACTATTTGATAAAACGTGTCTACTTGGTCTGAAGAACTTGTTAACAAAGAAGTCACACCAATCTGAATAGAGTAATTTCTATACAGCATTAAATAACATTTCAATTGACTTACCGAATTATTACAACTACACAAAAGCGATTAAAATGTTTTACCTAATGAGACATTTTATTGTTCTAGTGCTGTATTTAGTGATAGATTAGATTTTTTGAACACGGCCACGCGTATACAGCCTCTACCAGGGAAGTCCTACTCACTGCCTTCTCGTGTTGTTTACGAAAATGAGAGGACGAAAAGCGAATATCAGACGCTTTAACCGGATTCCAAACCAATGGTGCACATGGGCTCCAGTATCCTGCGGGAACAAATGGCGTATGAACCAATTGTTGGTCACCGGCTTCCATGGGACTGCATCTCCTCACGATGCTCCACTGCCTTGTGGGTTAGACTTTCAGATTAAAGGCTCGGGGTGTGGCCCCCTAAGAAAACCACCTGCTTCGGTCTGGGCACCCGGGCAGTATCACAGCCCACACACACAAATATCGTGTGGCGCATATATATTTGGTGCCTCCTTGTACCAATATTTATGTGTTTAAATAAATATAATAAATAAATTTTGGACAATATTAATAAAAATCGGTCTTAAGAGCAAATATGTGGAAGGGATATTGAAGATAAAAAAATCAATATTTTGCAATAGATTGACATTAGAAGACTTAAACTGACTTCTTATTATATGAGATATTTAAATTGAGATAGTTTTCTGCTAACTGGCACTAATAATAGAAAGTTTAGTAGACATGATATATTGCTGATTTACATTAGTAGCTTCATTTCTGATTGAATGAATAATAATTCTGGGCCTTTTTAGAGAGTTACGTCTTATCAACAAACGTTTGATTATGTTTTTTCATCAATTCAGCCGATCTGATAAAAATCAGACTGAGCAACACACAGATTTAGTTTATTCCCATAATATTCCATTTTTTGAAAATGGCAGTGTTAAAACATTAGTATTTGAAGAATTTAGTCATTCAGTTTATGATTCTATACATTTATGGGACAAAATGAACGACTAGGCTTGATGTCACTATTGATGTATCTTATGATCTGATGTAGTATTAATCAACTTAACTGTTTATATACTTCAGAACTGACAAAACCTGTGATGAATAGATGACAGATGTTTGATCACACTTACGTACTACAAAAACAAAATGCAGTTTGTTTTACGGTAAGGAAATATCAATACAAGGTTACTAGTTTGGCTACGTTAAAAATCGGATTTATATATCTGAACTAACTATTAATTCTAACAATATGAAGAAAGAGAATGTTCCAAGCTTTCCAAGCTTTCCAAGTATTGTGAACCAATGAAAATATATGAAATTATTAATGATCAAGTTTTGACTACTCGTGTTATATAGTTACAGTGAATTCAGCGCTTTACAAATTCTTGACAACTTAATATGAGACGCCATTTATTTAATAAACATACGCTAGTGAGTTCATAAGCCACCTATTAGGTCCAATATTGATTTATGTTACTTAGTACACACTGAAATGAACCTAAGTGTTCGGCAGATTTGAGTTAGAAATAATTATATATTCTTTTCAAATAACACGGATCTGTTCAGATTAATTGAAAGCAAGTCAGTTATTTGTATATAATTATGACAGTAAAACAGAAAGTTTCTTTAGTGTTATTATATTTATTGAAACATATGCATTTCAATGCTTCATTGACATAAATTATACTTATGAGATTTAATAAAGATAAAATAAATGAAAACAAAACTGAGTTGTATTTGGAAATGGCCAAATAAAGATTTTTTAGAAACTTGGGTTAAATTTTTTAAAGAACTCTAAGTATACACCTCACACTTTATTGCATTGTATAAATAGTTAGTTTTATTGCACAATTACAAAACTCCGCTAGTTTTGTAACTAAAGTAAGGATTGAAGATGAACTAGTGAGAAAGAAATATAAAAGCGTTTTATGTATGAAAATGCATGAAGACAAATAAGTTTGAGAAATTTAAGTAGTAGTTCATTTTAAATTTGTTGTATGTGGTTTATTGTTCAAAGATGAGATAACTCAAATAACATGACTCATAACGACGTGTGTTATAATATCAGCAATGTATTTCATCAAAATATAAAAGAAAATTCATCTTCACTACGTGAGTTAAATACATTTGATGTCGATGATTCTGATGTATAAAGAGGGCTAAAATTTGCCTCTACGAAACCTTGACTACAATATTTATTTAGGCTTGGTTTCCTTGCGTTAAATCTGGGTGAGTGTACTGAATTAATGTCAGAATCAGGGCAATGCTTAACTGTTTCACATGTTTTCCAGCTACCTTTTGAATATATGAACTGTTTTCTTTTCTCTGATAGTCTACAGAAACAGTAAAATTCAACAAAAAATATCACACTGAGCACTGTAGTAAAAAGCAAATAAAAGCTTCGGAATCTATAATTCCGTAGTAAAATTTTAAGTCTATTTATTGATACTAAAATCCTCGTAAGGTGATTTCCTCCGGTTCATTGAAGACTATATTATAATCTCGTTTTATTTTTAACAAAACAGCATTCTAGTAAATAGTCCTTCATCCGCAGTCTTATATGTGCTATCAATTCTTAAGGAATAAAGTATTTACTTTGGTTATTAGGTCACCAGCACTTATAATTGAGTATCAGATCCAAAGGAAATCCAAAAACCTGTTGTTCTCGTTCTAAGTTTTAAAAAAAAATAATTTTCAGACAATTATAAAGGTGACAATAAATTGAAAGGATCAATAACAAACTTAAAAGTCGTTCATTTTGAATGAAGACAGTATCACGAAATAAATGTCGACCAGATTTACTAGCACAGATAATAAGTTGCTAGCTTTATATGGTAATGTGCATTGATAAACAGGTATTAGATACCTTTATAATTCAAAATTTATACAAAGACATTAAAACATATTTCACATTCATGTTAACTTAGGTGATAATATTCTCTTAGAAACACTGAGTCACAAGATTTATGGGTTAACAGATTTATTCCTAAACTGCAATTACCGGACTTTCTATTTAAATTTTATCATATTGCCTATACCTAGTTTTATTTACTACTTTTCACACTCCCATTATTTGTATTTTAATACCTTTTAACTTTTATGAATAGTTTGTATCTGAGCAAAAGAAATTATGAATCGTTCAATTTCTGACCATTTACGGTAGTCTGAATTTTGTAGAATATCAAAGCAGAATAGTCATCACTACAAGTTCAAACCAGTGAGTATTGACCTAAAAAACGTGATGAAACTTGTTTAGTTGGTTAGTAACATTTAAATTAGTTCAGAAAGATGTTTTCAAAATTGAGTTTGCAAAAACATATGACTTCGAAAGAACAAAATGTCAATACCTTAAATTTAACGAATTTATGAATTAAAAAAATATGAGCAATTCAAATTGTCATTAACTAAGTGATTTGAAAAGTAAATCCGCCTAATGTTTTAGGACTACCAAATGAATTATGGTTATAAACACTATTAATACTAAAAGATTTATTTTCTCGATAAGATTGTCCAGGGATTTGCTATTCCGAAAGATAGTGCTTTTATTCGGTGATTGAAAGTCAACTTGAAAAACATTTCGGGTTTATAATAAGATTTTATCAGCAGCTTTCTGGAAATATGTTTTCTATTAACGGTGACTCAGATTCAGTGTTTAAATTTCTTTATCGAGCGCTAAATGATACTCTTGGGTTTCCTGTAAATTAACGACTCGAGATTATTATTATTATTATTATTATTATTATTATTATTATTATTATTATTATTATTACCTTTCCAAATCCCTGTGACTTGGACTGATTGAGAACTAAAATGCGAATTATCGGCTTCTATTGAGGTAATTATCACTTAAGTTCCAATTTGTTTGATGTAATTCAGTGTTCCATAATAAATCAATCAACCAGTTTAGTAACTTACAGGGCTTACCTATTTATAATGTTGTTTCCAGAAAAGAAATGGAAAATCCTTTTGTTTTCTATACGAACTGACTGTTAATGTACTATACTCAACTGAACAAAGTATCCTGTTCAGTCATTACTCGTCTCGAAAGAAAGATTATCGAGCTATCTTAAGGAAATTGCACTTCTGACCTTGTATTTAAGTTTGTGATAAATTGTGTTTAATAAAATCGTGAAAGTTTCTTGATAGATATTGAAACCTACCAGATTTGACAACAAGGGTCTTGGGCTCATACTTTCTTGACGTTTATCTTCTGTGATCCAGTTTTTAAATAGCTTTATTGTTATGATGCTTTCATTCTCATTGGAGAATATTTATATAATTTTGATGATAGTTGGACAATCGACATGATGAGAAAATATATTTACATCATGTTACCCTTTAACAACAACTTGTAGTAAAAATTGAATGCAAGAAATAAATTACGGTTGATCATTCACAGACATTACTAATGGTCTTCATTTTTTGAGTTAACAGCTTGAAAAATCTGAGTCCTAATAAATTTACTCAGCTCAAAAATGTATTCAGTACTCTTAACCGAGAGACGATGAATACTGAATTAAAATGGTAGTAAATAATTACCCGTATATGTGCGAAAGTTCTACCGGGTAATATCATCAATAAAATAAACCTCCAAGTTTCACGCTTTATTTTCAAGCCCTTTAATATACACAGAATATTATAGTTAGGATACTAAATGAATGAGCGTTCACAATTTTATGTAGCTATGTCAGCATTTATATATATGATATGTGAGGTTACATTGAATCCCATTAGCTGTACAAAAACTTGTGAGATAAAACACAAAATCACGTTTGGATTCTGTATGACGTTTGATCAATATAACATTCGGTAACATAATTCCATCGTAAAATCTTGTTGTTTAACAGGTTCTTGTTGTAACACATTTTTGTGTTGTTTCTTTGAATCTTCCCGTTGATGTTTAGGACTGCAAGTACATCTAGCTGATGAGTCCCAATTTGGATGGAACGCGGGTCCTGGTTTACACTGCTAGCCACTATCCATCTCCGCTTATAAGGTTTCTATTGTGTTTTTGATTTTATCATTGTCTTTCGTAAATCACAGCTTGTCACTGCTTCTTATCCAGTTCTCACAGTTATGATCATACCCCTTAAACATGTTAATGGTTCACTAAAATCATGAGCTCTGTAGATAAAGCACCGACATTTAGATTAGAAGGTTCAAGATTTAAGACAGTGAACATTACCATTGTAACTAAGGTACATTCAACTACTGAATCCTTAAAAGAACGAGATGCACGTCACAAAATCTAATACTAACCAAAATCTACCAACGTTAAAAAGATTATAAAACATTTAAAATTTTTATCAATACTTGAAAAATCTATATATTTTAAGTTATTTACTTAATTTCTTAAATTGATAACATTTTTCAGTTATTTAAGTAGTAGCTTTGCCCAGTTAAATACGTTTTCTGCCTATTTTAAACTTCACTACTCTGGCTCCTATATCTTTACTGATTCAGATGTATTAAAAACACGAAGAGCAACTGGACTATGGCTCTTGTAACTTACCCACATTTGGAACCCATAGGTTGCTTTGAGGTTGGTCGATAAATAGGATATGATGACCGTGGGGCAGACTCATCTGAAGACTCATAGTCTAACAAACTATGGCTCATATTGTTCTCTATATGGCATGTTGATAATAAACCATACGGTTTGCATGCTTTAAATTTATCTGAAGAATAGTTTGATGGCGAAGATGTTACATGTGATTTTGTATGTTGATTATTACATTCATATTTCAAGCTAGACACAGTATTGTTCATTCTGTGACATGGTTGCTGTAACACAGCTTTTTCACTATAACAACTCGAGTTACGCCAGTCTTCACCTGATGGTACAGTAGTTGTTCTGGAATGACCAACAAGATCAGGAATGAACTCCAAAGGAAGCATGCTTTTTGGACCATGAGAACGCGAATCAATTTGAACTAGACCCATTCGGTACCCCATAAGCTGTCTTTCTAACTCATCCTTTTCTTTAGTGATTCTTATTAGTTCATTTCTGGTAAAATTAATAACATTAAAAAAACCTATGATTAATGGATTAGTACCTTAAAATATCTTTCAGCCTTTAAATCGTCTATCAACAAATAACCTCCAAAATAAAGTGAAAACTGTTAAATAACGTATCGAACGAAACATAATGGATAGGAACTGTTTTTTCCATATCCATCTTGGATTTATCGATTGAATTGTGGTTAGTGCGGATGGAAGAGAAAACAATTAAATGTATCTCTTTTTTAAATAAATCATGACCACGTAACAATCGCTACACTACTTGCAAATGCTAAACACATTAGCTGAAAGTTTACTGGGACAAAACGTATAAATTTTAAAAAAATCATCTAAATCATTGGTAGTACTTCTAGATGGATAAAATACGATGGTATAAAGATATATAATTATTGTTGCAGGACTAGCTGATATTTTTTCTAGTAACTATATGGTTAGTGAATTTAAAAAGAAAATGACATTGATAATGGTTTATCATTCAACTCAATAGTCTTGAAAATCGCTAAACTATATTTACATCATTACTTGGAATGCTGTAATAAAATGATCTTTATCCTCAAACACCCTTGGAAAATTATAACCATTGTAAAACCAGTAGTAGACAAAGAAAATGAAAACAACCAGTTAGCTGGTCAACTAAAGTTATAGGTAAATATCTAACCAGTACTTTAGGAATCAATAAACAACAATAACACTGTGTGACTGTTATGTTTGCGCTCAGGAATTCGGTTGTGAATATGAAACTTTTGGCGGCTATTTTAAACTGATATCCGATTTATGTCAACACGCTGATAAATCTCTTTTTCATTTACAAATGATCACACATCCTAGTTCTCACTTACGTTTAATATTGCAAATACTAGTTTAGCGGGATATTTTGTGTTATCCATTAATAATCGACGGCTAATTAAAAGAATTTAGGTGAAGGAGAGTTTAAACTGTATGTTCAGAGGCCAAACGTCTAGCCTTCGAAACACAGAGCATCAGCTGTTATAATGAATACCACTTCAGAGATTAATACTGTAAAAAAGTATATTCATTTAGGTTCCCTCACACAGATTTCATTTTGTAAGATCATGATACTGATTCAATGGAAAAATTACTATTTTTAAAAAATACAGATAACAAATATAAGTTTCACAGTAATAATTTAATAATTAGTTGATGGATTCCATATTATATTGGTTTAATGCTTTCTGTATCTTGTTTGTTATATTTGAAAACTTTGGAAAAACGTTTGTAAATAAAATTTATCTTCAACTCAAATGTAGAACAATTACTGTCAGAACAAACATTCCCTTCCACAAATGTTAGTTTGATCTATTTATTACGTCATGTGAAGTGATAAAGTTGGGACAGAATCACTTAATTGTCTGGGCTAATTCGCAGATAAACCCCAGCCTATAATGGCTTTCTTCCTTCCCTTTCGTTATCATCGTTAGGTTAAGCAAATAATAAAATATCATTTAGGCCGTAGATGATAACTGGCAAAAGGCAATCGAAAACGGTGAGTCAGATGAATTTAAAATATATTGTATTACGCCATCCGAATGGCAAAAGGTATGGGTCACAAAGACTTTTATTGGCTAATGAAGCCGAAGATCGCACATGATAATATATATTTTCACACTAACTTTATAGTTTCAGGAGTACTATTGGTTTGCAGTACTGAGATTTATACACTGTTAGTAAATTATCCTGTCTTGGATAAACCCATCAAATTTTCCTTTAATCGTATTAATTGGAAAATATATGAAAAATGTTACACTGTCTGAAATTTTGAACCTTTTACAGATCTGAATTAGATATTATTTATGTTCAGTAATTTTATCACTTTGGAAGCTACAAACATGAAATTAAACCTTTCAATGTCTCTTTACCCATCGTATCCATGGTAATCTTACAAAGAAAAGGTCAAATATAGATGGACTCACATTATATTAAAACAGTTCACGGATTATTTCTCGGTTGTTCGCATCGAAAAGTGTTTTTCTTTTCGAAATTTCCGTATCTATATTTATCACTGTAAATTTTTATTTTCATAATATACTTTTCATTATTCGTATAAAAGCACAGTATGAAACAAATATTTTCAATCAGATTTTTCAACAACGGTTCGTTTTCCCACATATGTACCACGCCTTAAATAAGTTTCAATCCCTTTTTTGAAAAAATATGTTTTTAATTCCTCTAGTAACATTTCAATGACATGTAATGCTTCGCAATAAAAACTAAGTTTTGTTTGTCGCTAAGGCGTTTTCAATTTAAAAGATATTTTCAGACACGTTTCGTATCTCTGAATGCTTTCGTTTTGACTGGTTCACATTAGTAAATTTTGTGCATCAGTGCCCCTTAGTTTCTCTAGTCGTTTTTTCTCAGTCGTCATTTTAAAAAATCTAATCTTGGAAATTTTACTGCTGAAGTACGTAAACTAAACCAACCCGAAAGGCACTTATACAGTTCTTACGGTGTTGCACCTCAGATAACGCCGAACGTCTGTCGCAGCTATGCTCAGAGAACTTTATTTTTGGCAAACACTAACTTTAAACATAAGGAGAAACACTGTCCGACGTGACAACATCCACAATCGACCCATCGATGGATTCAAACAGCTATAATTAGAGTGGTTCGATACAAGACTGTAGTTTATTCTAGAGTATATGTTTATACACAAAACACATATTGGTCTTTGTTTTGCTGGACGTAGAAAACCGCGGCAAGATAACCACATACAGTCCAATTTCATTATGAAGAAGTTAAGAATATATTTGACGAACAACTAGAGAAGGAGTTAATCAACTCTAATAGTGATATCCACCCTAAGGTAGCTTGGTATGATATCCGAAACGTTGTGGAAACAGTAGTGACATCCACTAGTAACCTAAATCACTAGGTTAGAAAACATTAGTGGATTTCAGCTCCGTCTACAAACCTGACAGATGCTTGGAAACTCATCCCATCTGGTTTTGGACATGATTTGGAGCGAAGGCAGCTTAGACGTAGGTTTATAAAAAGCCCACCTAATGATCGTGAGTAGTGATGGGTAGCAAAAGCGGAAGAGATGAAAAAGATAGCGATGGGTAACAGTAGACGACTGTTCAGACTTATCAAAGAAACTTGTATTAAAGATCCGGCAGGACTATTATCCACTCTCGATCCAGGAGATTGAACCGATTGGCAAAACACTAAGGGAATGGCTCTGAGAGGCAATTCAGTTACCTGCTATCTCTAAGTAACCTGAAGGCAAACTGATGTAAGTCCTTGAAATCTTAATCAGATTGATAAGGTTATTGGTAATCTAAGTGATGGATAGCATCAGGGCCTAATTGACTAACACCCGAGATTTTTAAGGTTGGTGGTCCAGTTTTAGCATTTTCACTAATTGAAATCTTAGTTAAAATCTGGTAACTGGACGTAATCCCATCTAACTGGTTTCGATCACTGATCGTCCCAGTTTATAAGAAAGGACAAAAATTCTCTTGTAACAATCTCAAAGTAATCAGTTTAATCGATGGGGTATCTAAAACATTAGCCTCAGTAATAATTCGGCTTTTAACTAGAGTTAGTGAAGAGCAAATACAAGAAACCAGGATGTTTGCAGACCTGAACATGGATGTATGAATCAAATATTCGCCCTTCGTCAGATTCTGTAACAGAAATAATTTTGGACTTCTGATTATGGTTGTATCCCTTAACCCTAAAGCGGCTTCGACTCTGTTGATCGTGGGGTTATGTGGCAGTCTGTCATTGAAAGGAGTATCAAAGAAGTACACCAATCTTGTACAGACTCTCTACTCGGACATTTCTGATCGGGTCAAAGTTTATGGCTAACTGCCATTTTCATTGAGCTTTATCATAAACATATTCTTAAAGGTAACACTATCACTGTGACCTTTCAGGGATCGATCTCCTACTAGGAGATTCACTTGTTGACTTAAGGTAAGCAGAGGATACAATTTTGCTTGGTGAAGCCGCTGACAAAATGCAGTCGTCTGCCCAACTTAAACAACAATGCAAACACGTTAGGAACGCGGTTCTCTCTCTCGGAATGCAAAATGTTATTTCAGGATTAGTTTGCATCAGAGCCCGAATTAGAGATAGGGGTGGAGTAGTTCAACGTACCGACCGCTTCACTGTACCTAGGAGTCTGATGGTCTTGTGCCTGACGAAATCTCAGCACAAATTCAGAAAGCTTGTTCGGCTTTTGCCAACTTGGGTCATTTATGGCATAAGCGAGATATCCGCCTGCCAACCACAGAGTTAGTTTACTGTGTAGCAGTTCGCTCTGTCTTACTTTTTGGATGTGAAACATGGGCATTAAGAGTAAAGGATATTTGTAGATTACTGGTATTCTGATATAGGTTTTGCCGAAGCACTGCTCGTGTATTTTGGGACCGCAGATTGAGCAAGGCCTGAGTTAGTAACAGAGAAAGATAAGAAGTCGAAGTAGTAAATCTTCATCAACTTCGGTGGTTGGGAGATGTGTTACGTATGCCTGACCACCGTCTACCTCGAGGGACGATGATTTTCGGTGGGCTGAAAGAAAGCCAGGAGCGGCCAAACCAAGACATGGCATCATTCCATGTAGTTACTGACAAGTGAACTTATCCATGTTAATAGGTGTAGACCACCTGGTTGGGGTGAGTGTGATTGAGATGGTGGAGAGATGGTGGTGAGTGTGATTATCATAACCTGTGTTTAAATACTTTGAATGGCATGAATCAAAATCGTTTTCAATGGCTCATGCGCAGCCATTATTTGTCTTCCTGAAATTCTTAATTCCTCGCAACTTTATCTGTTTTTATTTTGCTAATTGATATTCTATTTCCGAGCCATGTCTTAGATCTTGTTTCCTATTGCTACTGACACTGTTACTATCTCTGATATTCTGGGAAGTGGCTTGACAACTTTATTTCTCTGTGCTAATGATGTATGACAACTTGACCAATTTACATACATACCAGGCTCTACATTGTGACTGATTGAACGACTGATTTAATGATCATCCAATTTCAGGTATACAAAAATATATATCGATAATATGTGTATTGATGATAATAAGGACTAATATATGATCCCATGGATTAGTATTTTTAAGATTAAAGAAAACTGGTGTCACACCTCTCATTTGTTGTGAGTAATAACTAGAACTCATAACTGACTTCACAGCTCTCGTTATCAGTAATATGAGCTAAGATGAGAACTTTCGACAACTGAGCGAAATGAATTTATAACATAACCAAGAAATATATGACTTCGATCAAGCACATAGGGAAAATACTTTGAAAAAGAAATCAAAGGAGTTTTAATATGAATATCAAAGGAACATAGATTTCCAAATAGATATATGAGTCGTTTTTAACACCAAGCTGAGGAGTATTGACCAGTGGTTGAATAATGTTTATCGTTTTTCGTCACCACTCTTCACATGTTACAACAACGAACAATAAACGGTTTATTTTAAAACATTTAAAGAGTAATACCCAGAAATGTTTTATTTCCGTGTAGGCTGATAAATACTGTCATCGATTTTGAAAATAACTTCTTTTCATTTCAGTATCTCAGCCCATATTCTACTTAACCAGATCACTCTCCTCTTAAAAAAAATTTTGCGACATCCCATATGTTTTGAATCAAATATAATACGCTTATTGAGCAGTTTTTGGTGACTGCCTTACATTACTAACGGCAAAAAAATATTATTGAAAATATCAGGTTTAATTTGACCTTAATGGTTTTGACATTTTGAATCCTTCTTGATACCTAAGACTGTCATTAAGATTCAGTTATCAACAAAATAAATAAATTTTGAAAATTAGATTTAGCGTATGACGTCTCATTCTCACTAAAGCTTGAAATACCTCCCTAAAAGGACGTAAAGTGTTTTAGTTTACTGAAAGACTAAGTGCCGGGTGCACTGAACCAGCGAATATACCTTAAGATTTCATAGAACTATATTATGGCGTCATAGTCTCAATGAAGTATTACGCTTTTTCTGAGGAATATATCTTTCCAAACATCTTCAGTTCACAAAAATAATTATGCATAAAGCTAAATTCTTAAGTGTTATTTAAAAGAAGTGGTTGGTTAATCTACTAATTTTATCCCACTAATTGAAACGAATTATCAATAAACTCTCTTTAAAAAGGTTGCTTCAACTTACCTTGTTATTACTAAACATTACGATAGTATTCTGTATATGAACTATGGATAACAGACCTATATATTTGCAAAATAACTGTACTAATAATATACATCTCGAAAATAATCAAGGGCAAACCTGAATCATATGTCTCCATCATAAAGAAACTCGAAAAACAATTACAGCCAGTGATAGTATGAATTTTATGTAATATTAGTTTCTAATGACAACTGTTGTAATTTTAAACGTCTATTCGTACTTTACTTCAAAAGTCGCACTCTAAACTGCCTTTCTTTCTAGTGGATAGTTAGCATCATAACACGTCTTTCAATTAACCAAGTAAGAATATTTTTCAAACAGAAAAACAATATCACTAGTCTGAATAACATTACAGACAATAGATTTGTCACTACGATATATTTAATACATTATGGAATTCACAGTATATAGCACTTCAGCAAGTCCTTTTGATTCTTCATAAAAGTTCCTATACATTTGATAAACTGTGCAGTTGAATGTAATTTTTCTAAGAACGTATAAATTTTGTAGTAGTGAATAACCTGGATACTCAGGAGCATAGGTTTCTGGTTAGGTCAACCTTTACAACCTATTTATAGAACGGTGCATGTCCTAGATTACGGTGTTGTATAGGTTTATTGCATTTTTACCTGCCCAAACTTTGATGAATCTGCATCTCTTTCTATCAGAAAATATGGAAGGGAAAGCAGTGTATAAAATGAGTGGTTTGTACCTGCTGTCTCCCAGATTTTAAATTTCTATCCACAACTATATTCATAACGACATTAAAACATTCCCCCACACCTTAGTATTTGTCTCCAGCAACACAGAAAATCTTTTCTTAAAAGCCCAGGGGAGAATAATGGGGAATAATATGGGACAATAAGGTAAATATAGGGATTTAAAAACTATAAAAGTAGGTATCAAGTAATGGCACAAACAAGCAACCTGTTTATACAATAAGTTAGATGAAAAACTGCCCTTGATATCAAGAAACATGGAAAGATCAAGAGAGATCAGACATGAAACCTACACCAAGATGAACAACATTTGATATAGTCTTCATTACAGAATACTAATTAGTACAATCGTCGTGCTTTTCATATCTCCAGTTAGAGTTAATCGTCTTATATGTCTACAGATTTGCTGTAGGACTATTATCCATAGAGCATCATTCAATCTGTGCTAAGGACTAATTTATTTCAAACCAATCGTAGAGAACGAATTGGTATGCATGCGGTGAGGTTTCCACAGAATTAAAGATTTTTGGAAAGTGACAGACCATCCGAGAAGAAAGAACAGAAAGGGGAAAAGAATATCCTTAGAACAGTATTCTTCAAATAAAGTCAAAGATAGAGATTTAGTTTAGAAACATATGTCGAATATACTCATCACTCTTTATGAAACGAATACTACATTATTATTCAGGACAATTGCTACATCCAAAGTATTTCTAAGTGGTTTTTAAGTAAACTTCTAACTTTTAATACATCATTTTTTGGTAAATCTTGAGAAACGACGTTCCTACAAAATCGAACAAATAAGACAAGCACAATCAAATCTTCGATACATAAAAAACTTAGTTACACCACAAATATCTGAGTGTTATCACTAATCCATTTAGTGCCTACAGGCTCTTTAAATTGCTCCCATATACCTGAAGAGTGTTTACAAGATAAAAATTTTCCAGCAAAGATTAAATTCAGAGGCTTAATTTCTTAACTTATCGCAGAATTTAGCCTTTCCTATTATATCTTTAATTTTTTTAGTTTTGATGAGGTAGTTGATTGAATCTCATTAAAATTGTTTCATTAGGATAACAAATATCAAAGCAAAATTTAAGATAACAAGTGACAACATCAATAATGTCTTGCAACAAATCACTTGTAAATCAATCGGAGATTGTTATTCTAGATATGTTTTAAGATCTTAGATGCTTTCGTAAGTGTAGCTTCTATATTTAACTTTCCTCGTTTGATAACAGGTGCATACTTTTTAGGCTTTGAATATAAGTTGATCAAAACACGATTCATGTTATGATCAGAACTAAGATGAGCTCGTCTTGCATTTTCCTACATCAGTAAGAAAAATTAGACTCAAAACAGCATCAGAATTAATGGGGAAGTTGACTAGGTTTGGGTGATGATAGAAAGCTGAAATCCCGTGATTTAAAAATGATAAATACGATAAAAGGTGAACCAGTGAAGGAAGTTGAGGCAAATTCAATGAATATCTCTGGGTGATGAGGTTATGTGATCCGTAGTCACGTTGATATAAAGATAACTGTATTTGTTCGAGTTTTTTAAAATTCATTTCAGCGTAAAACAGTCTATAAAATCGCTCGATAAACTAGTGCTTACACAATTAAACTGTCACCATTCATTCAAATATAACTACATAACCACCTCACATTTTCCCTCAACTTGGACAGTCCTAACGACAAATCTCAGAAATGATTAGTAACAAATTATTATCAAACAGATCCTTTAACCAGGATTTTTAATTTACAATTAAACTACAATTAAATTATATGCTCAGCTCAGGAGAAATCCAAGATAATTCATTTTCCCTAGGAGTGATCTGCCGTTAGAAAATCATTTCTGGAATCGACATTAACTTTAATCATTCTAAAGAATTATCCTAGCTGATGCGTTGTCTCATTAAATTTATTGCATTTTACAAACCGAAAGTTTGCAACTGTTGTACGTACACACAGGAATAAATTATACAGTTATTTGACATCATAATTAAAACAAAGATAAACTAGTTAACTTGTTGATATTCAAACGGTTAGAAAATATCAGCGCAGATTTTCAAACAAGCCACCGGTCTTTTTAGATCTTATAAATTAAAATATCTTGAAAAATTTTAGTTTAAAATGATTATGCGTTTGCCTTGAACTGTAAACAACAGCACAATGAACAGTCACTAAGACAGAAGTTTAAACATACAAATATTAAAGTATGATATAATATTGTAACTTTAATTACCTCATTTGATGGTATTGGCGGGAACCGATTTCATCTGTTTGATAAAGTGTATCGATGTATATTTGATGTCTATACAGCCACTGAATTTCAATTGTTATAGTACCTGTTTTAGGATTTAATATTCCCATATTTGACCCAGTTAACTGCAGAAAAAACAAAGAACAAAAGGGAAATGCTTTTCTGGAGTTCATTTGAGTTAAAACCGTTATCGGTAAACCTCAGTTGCTTTGCATGTAATGATCTTTACTTTTCTGCTTCCCTAGAAAATTTACAGTAATAAATACACTGTTGCAGCATGTACAAAATATGTTCATTAGATGCATTTGAATAGTCTTTTTTTTTAAATTAGAGAGAATACAAGGATTATCATATTCATAGTGCTAACTGGAGTGTCAATAACAGACAGGATTTTATCCCCTGTATAAATTAACATCTTTATAAATTTATCGGTTATGTCATTTATAGTAAGTGTTAGAAAATGTTTACCGCGGATCAGGTCCTGTAAACTCTTATGCACATTTTAAAATCTTCGATAGTATATAAGTACATAGTAAAAGTCGAATCATGAAAACCTTAATCAGTAAAACGCGTGTTCATGGTATCTGACGTAACATCAGTACGTCCAACTTTATACACATTGTTTGAAAACCAGTTAAAGTTTTTTCAATAAATCGTGAGAATAAAAGAAAAAATAAGATCCATAGTGTTTAACCTTAAATTTTGTTAAAAAATCTTAGTTTTTAAAACCTTGATACTGATTATCCATGGTATCTTTCAACTGTATTTACTTCGTTAAATATAAATATTTAACACAATGGTTGATATGTGACAAAACATGTTGGTTGGCAACTTATCTATTTTGCCATATATACTGAGTATATATTTCTGTACAATTCTGGTAAATTCTTCATATATATTTATATAGTTCAATATATGATGCTTATTGTTCCTCAGGTAACAGAAAACATGGATACAAGAAAGTAGTATGATAAAATAGGCATTCAGTTTGATCATATATGAAATTTTACTCCAGGCAGAACTTTTTAATTAATTACGATTCTGAAACTTTTTATATTTTCGTCACAATGTTTATTCTCTTCTCCTTAGCTTTAAAGTGCTAAGATCTAGTTGTAAATTTACTGAATTATGATCACTTTTTACAACTGATTTTTGTTGTGTTTCTTTTGACATTCCTCTAAATATCAAAACTTAAACAAGGTGTCAAGTGGATTTAGCTTAGTTATAACTTTTATTAGTAATGATGAACGGAATTGAGGTTTGTGAAAAACAAATTGATTCAGTAATACGTTTTTTTCTTTACATATATGTTTTGTCAATTTAGCTCATGTGAATCTTGACGACAAAATATTTTGAATTATTGTCGTCTAGAATATATTGACATGTAAATTAAAGTCCTTAAATATAAAAACCGCTTGTATTTCAAAAAGGAAATCAATATATTTGCTCAAAATTAATAAATTATGTTATTCTGTTTCTGGCAAGAAGTGGGTGATGTTGACATATTCAAGGATTAAAATGGAACAAAGTATAATCATTCGTTACCAAGTTTTGTTTGAATATTCTTATTGAATTTTATTTTCAATTTGCTTTTCATCATGGCTCTACACTTGTATATGTATACATACATATATAATAGTGTAGGGCCATGATGAAAAACTAATTGAAAAGAAATTTCTTCGCTCAATTCGTTCCTTCTTTATTTACCAAATGTCAAAATGGAAATTTTCACTATATTGAAATTTTATTTTTTATAAATTTATTCATGATTAAGTACTTTATCCAGGAAGTAATTTTTTTAATCCTCTTTAGAAATACACTTACTTTCTTCATTGACAACCGATCTGTCGAATATATGAATTTATTATAACCGCTTAGCTTGATACGCATGGCTGATTTCTAACTTTAAAGTTTAATCACCAAAATAACGGACATTGTAATCGAAACTAAAGTAGTGAAGTATAACGTTTAAGTTTAATGCGATTTCGATGAATAAGTAAGAATAATTGGTGCTGTACAAGAGTCAATAAATAATACTTATTTTTTCAACAAACAATTTCTAGATAATAGATGACACTAAGCAATAAATAAATGCATTCTGATGGAAATCGTTTAAAGAAAGTGCTTGTTTAGTTACACATTGGTTAGTGTAAAGTTTTTTCGCTGATCATTTAACCTGGTTCAGATTTAATTTTTCATAATAAAAATTCATTTAAATTTATGAAATACTGAATTTCAATCCAGTATTTAGGTTTTTCTCTGAGGTATACGTTGTAATCTGGGTTGAAATTAATTTTCTATTTCCTATTAAGATACAGATATTTGAGCTTCAGTTGCCGATTAGTGTGAGGAATCAAAAACTTTTTCGGTTTTAAGAAAATCATTAGCTTATCTGTCGATTATAGGCTAGAGATTACTTGACAAAATAAAGATAGGCTGTTTCAATGCAATCAAATATGAATAATGTTGGCTGTTTCTGGAAAGATAACTATGAAACATGGTGACTGTATTGACAGTAACGTTTCATAATGACGAATGTCAAGTAAATTCAAATTACAAATTTCATTATTTTGATTCAAGGTAAGATCTTAATCTAGACATTCGAAAAAATAAAGACCATTAGGAAGAACAATTGCTTTCGATACCTTTTTCTTCAACATATACAGTTATAAATTTATAAATATTGTTACAGTACATATTTTGTACAGTATATATTATGTTAAAGTTACGGTCGAGATAGTCAGTGTTTGGGATTAAAAGCAATAGATCTCATGTCGGTTAAGTTTCCAATGACGACAAAATGTGTTATTGATAAAGACAGAAGGTCATATAACAATATTCTCCAAGAAGCCGGAGTTCACAAGAATGTGAATTAACAAGGGACTCATTTAAAAACTATTAACAGTTTATTTCAGAACGATTTAGTTGGACACTGAATGAAGTTAAAATTGACAAGAAATACAAAAATATCAAACCGAATTACGATTAATTAATTCAAGTAAGATTGTGATTGCACATAAAACAGATTATTTCCTGTTTGTTTTGAGGTAAATTATTTGTATAGAGTCCGAATTGGAACAAAATACATAGGAAACAAGCAACATTCTAATTTATATTTTCTATTCCATATTTGAATTCCACTAGAATGTACTATAATTAATTTGTGTTGCTTTTCTGATAATAAATGGCCACAGCTATAAAGGAGGAACGATAAGTGAAGTATAGGTTGTAGTGTCATTATAATTATGAAGTTATTAGAACGGAGCCAACAAAGTTCAACAATATCTCTTATTCCATCTGAGCCAGTACATATGTCTCAGACAACAGTTCCCAACAAAATTTCATTATCATAAAAAAACAAGGCTGAATCTCCCCATCGAACTAAGATCGAGTTAAATAGGAAGCTCTCATACTTGGAAATCGATATTCATATAGTTAACCTTACGTTCACGTGAAAACTGGTGAACTTTATTCATTGTAGTATTATGGTTGCGGTTACGTAGCACATATTCATTTGACTTTATCATAGTACGTATGCATTAGAATACCCAGCGCATTTTTATTCACTCATGTGAGGTCAAACTGATAAAAAGCACAAAAATAACAAATACTTAGTTATGAATGAACAGTGATTTTTTATTCGACAAAATTGATTGGATCACTTACTTCTTGACATGTTATTTCCATGGCCACCTGTACGCTACTAATTTGACTAGCTTTCCTCAACAAACGTTTAGATATTTTATTATCTATGTCCATAACACTAGTATTACACAAACTTTGCAATAGTTCAGCACCATTATTTTTGAGTAAGTATTTCGGTAAATTTTTAATTAAAAGAATATTCAAATTATTTTGCGGAACGTTTATTCCAGAATGTCGAAGTCGGTTAGATAACAGCAATTCGTTATAGAAATCCGATTTTTTGCACGCGATTTGTAAAATTTCCTTTCCAACTGGTTCAATAACACGAGTTTTGGTTTCGTTTGATTGATAACCTTGAATACGAAACTTACAACCGAAGAGATATAGATAACCGCTTGGTATAGTGCTCCTTTCTGAATAAGATTGTTTGCTTTGTATTTTTGACGATTTTTCACTGCTTTTAAGATATTCTGGTTGATGTTCCAAATCTGGTTTTTGCTCCGGAACTAGTCCTACTCTCACCAAACGTGATGATCTATTCAGAAACAGCCTCCATGGAAGCGAAAATGGATCCATAATTAGACAACTGTCAACATGATTAAAATTGTCAAGATTATTGATAGGGAAATTAACCACCGTTAATCGTTCATAAAATATCATTTCTAATGTGATACAGAATTTTGATGAAACTGTGCTTAAAAGAAAAGCAACTGCTGATTGATGAGTACGTGTTTTACCTTTTTCCAAGTATTCACACGAATTAAATTTCAAAATATTAATTTGGCTATTTTCTCCTTGTTTTAGCTGTTGCTGTTTTACGTCATTTGTTCGTTCATCAAACTTGCAACAATGTGCTTTCAGTGGCCATCCTTGTGATCCTATTAAGAACTGCATCAACCCGGTATGACATTCACCTGGTAAATAGGCATTACACAGTAGTCGTGTCCACTGTGTTCCAAGTGGTTTCTCAGCGTTATAATATGTGTAATTATCTGTCTTATGCTCTGACTTTTTTGTCAAGCATATTTCCACATCTGCACATACATCATGATTATTATCACTATCAAAAGTTAAATTTCTCAATAAGTCACGATATGGTTCAATGTCAATAGTAAGAACCCATGTATCGCCAGCATATGAAAAGTGATCAGTTTCAAAATGAATGGTATCTGGAAATGTGATTGTTTCATTATCCATTCGTCTTAATACAACAGAACTATTATTATGAGTTCTTTTTCTGCCTTTTTTAAGTAACAGATGGTTTGTGGGATCTTCAACTTGGTTTGCTTGTAGTTTTATGCATACATGTGGGTTACGTAACCCTAATTCTATAATACACTTACCGTCATCAAATAAAAAACGTTTAGAGGATAATGTGGATAAATCTATGACATTTTTACGTCCATGTCTGCAACTATCTTGTGTAAATGTACAATTTGATTTGGAAAAACACTCATTCTGACTGAAAACATTTCGATTTTTTATTGTGAATTCAAAATCTAACGTAATAGTTTTCCATTGTGTTGGACGTTTAGTGACATTATGGTCTGATTTATTGATTGGTATCTGTGATGATGTTATGAACATAGTTTCACAATTTTCGGATTTCTGCGTATTCAACTCCAAGTAAAAACCTAGATGAGTATCGGTCCTTTCGAATCTTACAAACCATTCGTGTTCAGCATATTGGAAAACTTGCGTCTCGACATAGTTAACTAAACCACATAAAAGATGTGGTAGCAAGAGAAATGTAAATATTTGTGAATTTGCTGCATCATTTAAGTGAACGTAGCGATGCAATGGACCAAAACATATACTTCCATCATCAAATTTTCTCTCTCTCTTGTTTATCTCGGATTTTTGTGATTCAAATGAATAAGTTCCTCGGGAATGAGGTAGATTTGTCATAGATTAATTTAATAATGAACGTTAAAAGCAGATACTAAACCATACTTTCTTCTTGTAAGTATTTTGTCAGAAATATCACAGTTTATCGAGTTTGCATGTCAATCCCAAATCTCAAATTCTAGTTGGCTAAGATTTGATTGGACCAACAGTGAAGTGAAAACCATTGGATGATAAAATTTGTCCTCATATAGTAAGTTACTCTATAAAAGTAAATAAACTTTACTCATGATCAACAAATCATTATGATAGTCCCACAGTTTATTTAAAGTGCTGAAGTTTATTTGTATATACTCACTCTTATTGTGTTAAGTATAGATTAGTGAATGATGTTAAATATAGCAATCACTACAGATTTAGGTATTGTTTAGTATACAAAGAAGGTTTATTTATGAACTGTAACATGACTTTTCAAAAGCCCTCCGAATGTACTGCCATAAATATAGCATGAATTAATAACTATCCAAGCATTGTCTAACAACAGAAATAGCAGTTACGAGAAACTATAATTCAGTAATACAACAGATTTCTTGTTTCACAGCTTTCCTATTCAGTCTGGTAGTATTCGTCCGGCATAATAAACATTTTTAGTGAATAAGTATAAAATCTTGGATATTGTATGTTCTCAATGCAAAAATGACAATCTTTCACACAATGCTGAAATTATACGATTTAAAGTATTTATCCTAAATGCTTCATATATAAACAATCCAAAGAGCCAACCGATAAAAAAGTGAAAGAAGATAGATAATCAAATAAAACGTGGTTATTTTTGTCATCGATTTCCTGAGGCAACATATTCAATCCAGGAAAATATCCCAGAAATTATCCTATTAAGTCTAATGCTATTCTTGGACTTGGACATGGTATGATTTTCTTATTGGTCAGTACTTATTTCACGTGTTATTTTCCTACTGGTCAATATTGTACAATGTTATTTTCTATTTTATGGTATGTTGTGGTCTGATTGACTGGTATATAAACAAAGCATGTTTGAAATATAATGATTCATATATCCGAGGCTGTGACTTGCGTTCTGGACTCAACTGCTGGGCTAGATAGGGAAGCGGGACTAATCAGAACCCTAGGTCGTTCTACGTGTTTACGCGTCTTTGGTCCGATCGATAATTCGCTACCCTCTAATCTGCCGTGTCACAGTTATAACAGATCGCTTTGGAGGTTTTCAAAAACAGTAATGCAACATCATGATCAGCTAACTAGTTTAACCAGTAATGCAAAAATATCATTATAAGATAAACATGTTATTTAATGTAGACTAACTATACCTATTTGAGCTCAAATACTCTTGTTTTTGATATTTCACTATAATCAAATACATAGATTCTAAACAGTTTGCAACAGTAATGGATACTGGGTATTGATTTAATCCATCATGTAGTTTTAGTTTTGTTTAAGATATAACAACCTTATATAATTGGATCCCTTATGTTCGCACTTACACTTGAGTGGACAGCTACTGCTTCAAACAGCAGTGTTTATTCCACTAGAACTGATTCACTATAGTTGCTAATTTGTTCAGTAAGTATAATAATTATTATAACAGGAGATTATTAGACAAATATGACTGAAAGATAGAATAATGAAATCATCTCAGCCATACAAAATAATTCTTTTGTCTCAATGAAAATTCAACTCTTTGAAAATGGAAAGCTGATTGAAACGTCAACCATAAAATAATTTATTCTCCGTTAATTTGGTAGGTTTCCCTAGAAATTTTTTACAGTAGATGAAGTAACTCATTCTTTTAAGTCGTTAAATTATTTGTGAATTTCTAATGATAACATTAAGGATTTTTGAATAACTTTAAAACTTCTGTAAACGTTGTACATAAATGTTCAGCATACAGTAGACACAAAGTAACTCGTAATCATTAGTTATATGATATATTAATGTCTTTTATTGGATATTGCTTATCATAGTTTTGAAAATAGCTTCATTGCTTTTTGTATCAATAGTTTGAGTCGGAAATATTCGTTTCCGTGCACACGTACACATACATATCGCTTATAAATCACCCTGACCGAAATCACATGACACTGACGTGTTCAGACCTGTTTTTTGATCGATCGCACATAATGTACTTGTGTTGTTCCTTTGTACTATTTATACTTGGATTAAGTTTGATTTGGTTATTTATTCTATAAAGAAGTGGCTTATACTGAGACACGAAACGTCAGGTAATCTAATTTTTCGACTCATTGAGATATTACAAATTTATTAATTTATTTATAATATTTGTTTCTGTTTCACCACTGTGCCAACTATAAAGTCCTACATATAAGTCAATACAGTAAATAACATTCCATGGGAAATACGTCGTGAACCTTCTGAACGGTTTTAGTTCCACAGAAATCCGAACTGTTTGATTACCTTAAAGTTTTTTTTATTAAAGACTGTTTCTTTAGTTTTTTTTCTGAAACATGATATGTTAAGCACTTTCAGTCTAACAAACACAACGTTTTTAATATTACTAGGGTGTGATGAAACTTCTACTGATGAACAAGTACATTTATCAACATTGTTTAGCTGAGTGTCTGTTTGGAAGGCACAATTATCAGGAAGGTAAATATTTTAATTATTTTCAGCCCGTTATGTTTCATTATCAGTAACTTAAAGTTCCATATGTCATCAATCTTAATAGATCACTGCAAATATTTTACTCCCACTAAAATTGATCAACGTAGTATCAAGTGTGTAAGCACTAACTGTTTCATGATATAAATTATTTCTAACCGATCAGAGGTTCAACAATAATTGTGAAATACTCTTTAATTCGTTAAGTAATACACCAGATCACAGACACACTAATTAGAGAGCCTCTTAAAACCTGAGAGCACTAAGCATTTGCTTCAATATGGTTTATTACTCAGCAATGTGGATCGACAATTCTACATAAACCGTGTACCTAGTGTGAAATTTTTCTAGACAGGATATTGGTTAATCATGAAAAAATTAGTCAAATTGAACAAAACAGTATAACTCACCAATCTAAATGATTTACTAATTCAACGAAATTTTAATAGCGAGTCAAAGATGTTTTGGAAGCTGAACTTGACGGGTACATCAATTGTACATTTTCATCATTTTAACTCTTAAGAATCATACAAATAAATTTAAGGAATATTTCAACCATGAAATTAGAATTCATCTCATGCGTAGTAATGAAAATTCATCATTTCAGTATTTCAGATAAGTGAGTTAGGTTGATCAATATATACTTAGTACAAAAGGAGAGTATTTTAAAGAAATAATATTCCTCAAAACATTCAAAATAGGTACTAAAGTCAAATATACTGATAAAAAAAGTCGTTCTGTCATCTAACTTATCAACTGCTTTGTAGTAATGAATGCGTTGAAAACAGTATCGAACGCCTTACAATAAATTATTGATAATGTTTCTTATATGGATTAATATTTATTTATGTCTTGCTTTATCGAATACAGAAGTGAGTTCTGAAATGTCGGAGTTTATGCTTATAAGAGATTATTGCATTCCTGAAAATTGCCAGTTCATTCTAATTCCCTTTATTCTTGCATAAGCACGTTCATTTCTCTAACAGTTATCAGTTCACATTAATAATTAGAACGTAATGACGACGTTATTTAATTACTTTCGACTACACTCCCAGCTACTAGATCAGACCTAAACAATGTAGTGAAGATATTTTTTCCCAAAAATAGCTTGTTATCCGAAACTAATTAGTCTTATTCAATAGTGTTTAAAACATTTCTTTGTATCAAATTGTTCATTTGAAGAAACCTCAATTTAAACATATATTCGCAAGCATTTAATACACCTATACCATGTTTTTGAAATATGCTAAACTTCAAACGGATGTTTCACCAATGAGAAATGTGATAAACGGATGGAGAAACCATAAGATGTAAGATAAAAGGCGAAAATATCCAATATTTTGGTCAGAGCCAGTGCGTTATACGTTATGAATAAACTTGGTGAGAACATGATAGGTGTATTTGAGTGCGTCCATAAAAATACCATTATTTTACCTAAGAATGGTAGTTTTGTATTGAATAATTTATGAAACACTTCACCAACTAGGTCTTAATAATATTTTAGCCATCAGCAAAGCTAAGAGGTGATGACTCGAAGCCAAATGACTCGCAAACCAATTTCACTGAAATCGTGAACTTATCAATATTAGACCATAATCGAAAACCTAGACGAACCAAACAGCTCTTACATCCTAGAATGGGGCTTCCCAGCAGTGCGCATTCATGATTCTGCACGCGGTAGTTGAACCTAAGACCTTCTAACACTTAACCTATAGGCCACCAAACCAGAATTCAAAGGTGTTAACGACTAACTTTAACCAATCCTTGATGCAGGTAAATAACTCAAACGCGACACGGTTGAACTCCACTGTTCACGGGCAGTATATATATTTCAGACAACAGGTCTCCCTCTTGACCTCACACCCCATGGCGTAACCATATTAAGTTTAGTATAAGATATCATAGCTTTCTGTATAGATAAAATTGGATTTTTAGAATGAACCCACTGTGTTCCAGTCTGATCAGTCGGGCTAAATTTTAACTCAAAGTAGAATTTAAGGATAATCTTTATACTATCATCCCAGAAGGACGTGTTTAGTTTCGTTTACCGTATTTTTTGAACAGATTATGACCATTTACACTTGCAAAATATTTGGTAAACTGAGTAAATTAAATGATGAATAGCGTGCAAAATGAACGATAAAACCGACTAATATCCAGCATATCTACGAAGGTATAAAAAAACAGTAATGCGTGACAATATTTCATAACATTTTTCCAGTATTCGTTATTTCACTCCTTAATTCGAAATAATCCCACCTAATTTCTTTATACTTGAATGAAAAAACAACAAAAATATTTTAAAGATACCGACATACAAAGACGAAACAAGATGAAATAAAAATTCCCAATGACAACCGACTCATCTTCAGTTAGCAATGAAAAAACTTTATGCAGATGAAAGAGAAACCTTATACTGTACGAGTAAGTAATTCAAATGTAATGATGGTATTTGATGATTCATTTTCCATAACTTAATAAAAGAATACCAATGAAAAACAATTTTGTCATCACTTGCCAGTTAATAATTAGGATTCTATGTCAATGAGGAAAGAAGTCATTTTTATGTGACAACTAAACTGCAACAAAATTGTCTCTTTTTTTCAAGGAATCAGTGATACTTTGTACTATAATTCAACACTAGAAAATTGTTAACTGATACTCTTTCGATTTCACTTCCAAAACCTTGTAAATGGCTGTGTGAAAGAAATTTCGAAACCAATCTGCAGAGTAATTGCTATTCCACTACGGAATCTTATGTTGTGATCCAAATGTTTTCAAAGAATATTGACAATTTATTGAAGGAAGGTTTTCAATTTATTGTTACAGAAACACCGCTCATTTTACATGCACAAACATGTACATATATTGCATTTTGTATAAGTGTAGACTAATTTTGTTTACTGTTACTGTACAGCAGTTGGCTATTTGCTATATTCTCCGTATTTGTTTTCTTTAGTGAGACACCTCTTTTATATACTAATGACTGAGGAATTAAACTTCGACTCCAGGTTAATGGAATGCTAATTTTTATGTATAGTATTTATACATCCCTATCACTTTTGTTAGGAAATGTACAATTGA